GGGGGGGGGTTTTTTTTCCCCCTGGGAAAAAATTTTTTTTTTTCCCCAAAAAAAAGGGGGTTTTTTAAAGGGGGGAAAAAAACCCCCCCCTTTTTTGGGGGGGGATCCAAAAAAAATTTTTCCCCCCGGGGGCCCCTTTAAAGGGGGGGGGCCCCCCAAAAGGGGGGGGGCCCCCCCCTTCCCCTTTGAAAAAAAAATTTTTTAAAAAAATTAAAAAAAATTTTAAAAAAAATTTTCCCCCCAAAAAAAACCCCCCCCCCAAACCCCAAAAAAAAAAGGGGGGGGGGGGTTTTTTTCCCCCCTGGAAATTTTTTGGGGCCCCCCCCCCCCCCCCCTTTTTTTTTCCAACCCCCCCAAAAAAAGGGGGGGAAAAAAAAACCCCCCCCCCCCCGGGGGGGCCCCTTTTTTTTAAAAACCCCCCCGGGGAAAAAACCCCCTTTTCCCCGGGGGGGTGGGGGGGGAAAAAATGCCCCCCCCCCAAAAGGGGGGTAAACCACACATCAATGGGCCTTCATAAAGCGCTCCCCGTTGGACGGGGGGCCCCGGTTTTTCTTAGGGGACAGGGCCATGCTGGCTGCAGTGTCTCCCTAACCACCTTAAAATAAAATTAACAGGGGGTTTTTCATTTAAATTAAACAAACAAACCCCCCCCAACCCTTTGCCATGGAAAAACCTCTCCTCTAACCACTTCTTAAATCACCAAAATTTAAAGGGTTTCCTAGCCCCAGGGGGCCCCCGCTGGCCAGTGGTTTTGGCCCAACCCCCCGCCCCCCCCCTGGTCGGGGGGCCACCCTCAGTTTGGGGAGTCCCCCGGGGGGAAACCCCCTTTCCCCTTTTCTGTCTCCATCACTTCCTCAGAAATGGAGCACCTGGGAAGGGCAGGGGCAAGACCACGTTTTATAAAATTTTCTAAAAGATTCCAGTGTTTGTGGTGTCCGTTGTGTTCTAAGACAGTATTACCTGGTCTGCTTCTGGGCCTCTGCATGGTTTTTGAGGAATGGCCACCCCCGAGGAAACCCCGATGGCACCTTTTTCCTTTTTCAGCTGATTGGCAGGGAAAAGCAGACGGGCTGCTCCACATTCTTTCTGCCCCACACTCCCGCCCCATGATCTGGGCCAAACCCAAAAGCAGCAATAAACAAAATTCAGCACATCAGCTTACAAAAGTAAATAAAGCGGAAACCGCCATAATCGGGCCCCTTGATTAATTTTTTTTTGAAAATACTTTAATATGAGTGAGTTTTCCCACAACAAACATTTTCCCCTTTATTCATTGATCAGGTGAAAGAATAAAGCTTGTGCATAATTAAATGTATTTTTATAGGAAATTTGCCCGTAAACACTGACCTCCGTTTTGGTGTGAGGCGGGCCCTCCTCCACCTGGGGGGGGGTGGGGTTCCCAAAC